AACGAGTGAATTCGGTTCCTTTGTTTCTTGTTCGTCCCCCCCCCCCCGTTCATTTTTGTTCAGAAGGGGTTTCAGATGGATGTTCGCATTACAAGACACGCCGTGGTGTGTGCCTCATTACAAAAGTCCCTAGGAGTGAAGTGTCTACAACGGGATTCAATTTGCATCAGCTAAACAGTGCATAAACATCTGACACTTCTCATCACGAAATTATGTATCCATCCGTGCTCACTTGACGAGCAGCACTTGCCTACTTCGTTGCAGTTGCATGCTGTGCAGTAGCCATCTTCACGCTGATAGTAGTTCTCCCGGCAGCGCTCGCAATTCGGTCCGTCCCTGTTCCCTGTGCAGTCCAAACAGTGGCCTCCATGTCCTGTTCTAGCGTATAGCTCCTTGTCGAAGAAGCACCGGTTCGAAAAGCCATTGCAGTTGCAAGCTGAAACCAAACAACACATCAGTTTAACATTATGGCGTAAAAGAGTTAAAAGTTGTCCCTCTACTTAATAAACTAAGCACCATGTCATGAAGACGTATGGGGAAGTGGATGTATGGCTCAACAATTGACCTCGACAGTAGATGGAGGTGAGTGGTCAGCTTCACACACGGGCCGCTTTACCCCCGGTACCCACTGGATAGGAATGTGGGTGGACCTCAGAGCCGGTCTCGACGGTGCGGGGAAGAGAGAAATCTTGCAGATGAATATTATTAAAATGGATCTTAAATAAATTGGATGGGAGAGTGTACGGATGGATTCATCTGGCTTGGACATGGGTCTGTGGCGGAACACCGAAACGAACCTTCAGATTCCATAAAATGCTGGGATTTCCTTGACTATCTGAGCATCTGCTAAGTTTCCAGGGAGTATTCTGTTCCATGAAGTTGACTGGTCGGGTGGTTAGAACATTTCTGTGTTGTACGAATCATTAATGGAAGTTCTTACATTCGAGACCTCCAAGTTCCCCCAGATGAGAATGTCTGGTTCAGTCCATGACAACTGAAAGATTACAAAAACCGCGGCGGCACATAAAGGCTGTAATCATGGCGTTTCCTGCTGCAAGACTAATTCAGGTGGTCGTGTTTCTAAGGGCACTTCCTCAAGATCACGTGGGAAACGTACTGCAAGGATCTTATTAGATTATCTTACATACCAGCTATCACGTACCACATAGTCTCCTATCCAGTGGGTAACTGGGGCATTTCCCCCGGGGGTTAAGCGGCAGGGGTGTGAAACTGACAACGCACTTCCATTTGGTGCCGACGTTTCAAGAACGTGGAGCTATACCTCCCCTCCCCAAAACTTTTCATGGCGTGGCAGTCAAGTAGAGGGAGTTCTTTACTTTACCTTGACCAAACGTCCTACACGCCCCGCCCATCATATATTTGTCATAAGGTTCTGAATGGAAAGAAATGCAGTCTTTGAATAGCCGACACCTCTGCACGGCATCAACTGAACATCATGCTCTCATGTTCCTAATACGGGATAATGCTTCTCTACAATGCGCAAAGGACTAGTTCTTCGCCCGTGCGCATCAACCCTTTAGAGAGCGAATATCTTCTAATTACTATATGAAGATTCAGTCTGCACCTCACGGGAAACACATTACGTCTCCGCTACAGAGACCAACCGGTTAACGCTGTTTGGGGACACAGTCGCTGTTTATTGTGAGAACCATTCGGAACACACAAATACACTGTGTGGGCAGAATGCAGAGACTTTATATATAAGAATTCAGTCCGTACCTCACGGGAAACACATTACGTCTCCGCTACAGAGACAACCGGTTAATGCTGTTTGGGGAAACAGTCACTGTTTACTGTGAGAGCCATACGGAACACACAAATGCACCGTGTGAGTAGGGTAGAGACTCTATATATAAGAATTCAGTCCGTACCTCACGGGAAACACATTACGTTTCCGCTACAGGGACCAACCGGTTAATGCTGTTTGGGGAAGCAGTCGCTGTTTATTGTGAGAACCATACGGAACACACAAATACACCGTGTGAGTAGAGTACAGAGACTCTATATACGATGGGGTACCCAAAAGAAACCGAACTAATTTTTTTGTGGGCAGAGCTTTTGTAGTACCGCGTTTTGCCGCTATGAGCGCATAGAGCTAACATTCCTGAGTCGATAAGCCGACTACCGTTGCTTCAGAAGGTAAGGACTAGTTTCGGCAGAGTTTATAGTGACAACTGTTTTGTGTGATCGTCGTTTTTGCAATGGCCCGAACACATGAAAATGTTGAAAAAATTCGTGAAATCATCAAGGAAGATCGACGACGGACCATTGAAGAAATTGTGGAGCTGTCGGGAGTGACTTGGAGCTCAGTTCAGCGAATTTTGACAGAAGATTTGGGAATGAAAAGGGTGGCTGCGAAATTCGTGCCACGACTGCTGACTGCTGAACAAAAACAAGGTCGCGTGGAAGCATACTGTGCTTTGAAAGAAGAGTCCCGAAATGATCAAAACTTTTTTTCAGCGTTTTGCTGATGTTGCTGAGGTGAAGGAAAAAAAACGACGGAGGCGCTGTCAAGCATCTCAAAAGATAAATTTAGACAATGTTTTGATAAATGGAATAAAAGACTAGACAAGTGTATTAGTGTAAGTGGAGAGTACTTTGAAGGGGATTGAAGGTTTGTGCTTAAAATTTGAATAAATAAGTTCGGTTTCTTTTGGGTACCCCCTCGTATAAGAATTCAGTCCGTACCTCACGGGAAACACATTACGTTTCCGCTAAAGAGCCTAACGGACTAACGCTGTTTATTGTGAGAACCATACGGAACACACAAATACACTGTGTGGACAGACCACTGCGCTTTAAATGGTTAAGTATACAGCAGCAGCCCTTATACATAATCTCCGCGCTGCATTACCGCGGCCCCGGACCTGACGCGTGGGTCGCCTTGAGAAAGATTACCGCGAACCTGGCATCACAAGTACACAAACACTCGATAATTACACTGAAGAAACAATTTTGAAAGATAATTATCAACAACTCCGCCCATAATACGTACAAGCGGCGAGAAGTCAGTACTCCCCCCCGCTCCAGGAAAGCAGTCATTTCGGTGACGTGGCATCTTTTGATCCTGGCCTTTGTTGCGTGCTACGGAAGTCATCTGTCAACCTGAATAATGTCATTTATAAGCAGAGTCTGGGCCTTTAGAACTGGCTCTATGGAATTAACGAGGGTTTAAGGAGTTGTGGCGGGGGACTCCATTCTTTACAATGAAAAGGCACTACTAGAAATGGAAATGGCTTCTCACAACTATGCAGACGCTGCCCTTCGGAACTGGGCAGATGCCCAAGTTCAGAACTAAGCAGAGGATCAGATTCAGAATTGGAAGACGCTCCAGTTCAGAACTTTGCAGACGCACGGTTCAGAACTAAGCAGACGATCGGGTTCAGAACTAAGCAGGGGATCGGGTTCAGAACTAAGCAGACGATCGGGTTCAGAACTAAGCAGGGGATCGGGTTCAGAACTAAGCAGACGATCGGGTTCAGAACTAAGCAGGGGATTGGGTTCAGAACTAAGCAGAGGGTCAGGTTCGGAACTAAGCAGAGGGTCAGGTTCAGAACTAAGCAGAGGATCCGGTTCAGAACTAGGCAGAGGATCGGGTTCAGAACTAAGCAGAGGGTCAGGTTCGGAACTAAGCAGAGGGTCAGGTTCAGAACTAAGCAGAGGATCCTGCTCACAACTAAGCAGAGTCAGGTTCAGAACTAAGCAGAGGTCGGGTTCAGAACTAAGCAGGGGATCAGGTTCAGAACTAGGCAGAGGATCAGGTTCAGAACTAAGCAGAGGATCAGGTTCAGAACTAAGCAAAGGATCCTGTTCACAACTAAGCAGAGAGTCAGGTTCAGAACTAAGCAGAGGGTCGGGTTCAGAACTAAGCAGAGGATCTGGTTCAGAACTAAGCAGAGGATCGGGTTCAGAACTAGGTAGAGGATCAGGTTCAGAACTAGACAGAGGGTCAGGTTCAGAACTAAGCAGAGGGTCGGGTTCAGAACTAGGCAGATGCTCCAGTTCAGAGCTAGACAGGCGCTCCAGTAAAGAACAAGGACGCTCCAGTTCAGTACAACCCCCCCCCCCACGACCAACACAATTACAATGCAAATCATTGAGATAGTCGACTCGAGATTGTGTTTCTGTATGTATCGCTGTTGGAGCCTATTGTTATGACGTCTTAAAATACGCTGAAAATAGCTTTCACAAAACGAAGCGCTGTGGAGCTGAACAGAGAGAATATACCCGCGTTTACACCCTTTCTTAGCCCTGGACACTGTCTTTTGTGGTGGAAACATTCCGTGTTCCATGGATACGGAGTACTATGCTGACGGTAGTACAGCTACTGGTAGGGCCTCCCATGCTCAACACACAGACAAACTCGGCGAATGAGGCCCACAGCAGCAGGGGGGAAAGTTCCGCTTCCGAAAAGAGTGCCCCGGAAACAAGCAACGGCAACACGGTCCTAAACTGGGGCTTCACGAGGGGACGGAAATTTCAACCTCGGCATTAGATGGGGGTGAGTGGTCAGCTTCACGCCCATTCCACTTTACCCCCACGGAAACAGCCCTCTGTATCAATTGCATAGCAGGCCCCACAATAGGTCTGGACGACGTGGAGAGAATTGCTCTCGCCGAGACTCGAACTCCGATCTCTAGGCCGTCCAGCCTATTGCCAAAAAAGCGTGTAGGTCTTCATGTAAAGTTTCCGGAACCGTTGTCCAAAACTGGTGCATCACAAAATGTTATTAAAGCAGCCCATACCAAATTTGATGAAAATCTGTTCAACAGACGAACGTCCCAGAATAATTACGATATGCCTACATTTTGTTAACTTGTTCATGATTGCTGGATCTGAGGTTATCATGGCGGTGGCATATTCAGGGATGTGATGCCGTGCAGTCTGGTAGAGTTTCGAAGGCGTGATGCGTCCACCTTCAGGATATAAGGAGCCGTACGTTATTCTGACACGTGAGTAGACTTCGACCAGGCTGGACGGCATCATGCCATATTTGTTGTGGAAAGAGATGAGAAAGTATGTGAAGGAGGAAGCTAAATCGCTTGACAACGATAGCGACGGATCTGACGGTCGCCATGGAATGCTGCTCCGCACACCGCGAGGCCGCTGCGGCAGATTCCTTTTGTTAATGTCAATAAATTGCAGCGTTCATTTCGTCGGCGTCTTCTGATGTCGCGCCATTCCTAGCCGTCACAGCGCCAGCAGTGACCTGGGAAGTGGCCGGTTTCGGTGAGCACTAAAATTCCTTTGACTTTAAAAATGAAATTGCAGCCCGCGCAGTTCACGCAGCAGAGGCAGACACGAGGGAACGTTTGTTGCCGCTTATTGCCAGGCGATGTACACACGCGGACTGCAAAGAAAACACAACTTCGCCTATCTTTTTTTTTCTTTCTTTCATTCACAACTGGATTCGTT